ACAGACATATTTGGAAAATTTCGACATTTGAATTTACATGGAGATTGTTCATATGGAACAATCATGAACGATACTGGTGATTTATTGGTTGTGGATAAACGATATTGCAATATTATTACATCAACGTACAATCCAACCCTACATTCAGATAGTTCAAGTGGAATTATGTATGAATATCATCTTGACAGTTTTCAGCGGGTGGAGTTTCGTATGAAACGACATATTGTACATGCACCACTTGATCCAAATCTTGTTGAAATCATTAAATCCAATTTTGGAATCTTACCACAATCTTACTCTGCAAGTGAAATTGCTCATTCAATTGGATATTTTCGACAAATCAAGTGGGATAAACGGTTTGCATTCAAATATGATAGAAAATTTGAGAATGAAAGTGGATGGTCAGAATTATTCCACTTGAATGGACCGGATGAATTTTATGTTCCTCAGTATATTGATTTTGGAGAGGTTGTAATTGGAAAGGAGAGAATCAATTCATATGTTGATATGCATTTAACTGTGAGTGTTGATAGAGATGGAGCATTGGAATATATACACATTTACAGAGAATGGAAAAAGGTAGTTTCAATAGGTGTGGCAGATTTTCTCCAAAACATGAAATCTGTCTTGGTATTGAAAGATAAAACGAGATTGTTCACTTCTTACTATTATGAAATAGATATTGTTGCCATTCATCAATATCTTTACGAGAATGGAATTATCAACCAGAGAACTAGAGAGATTGATTCCAACATTCTGATAAAAGCTTACAGAACTGTGGCAACCACCAACAATGAATTCATTTCTGATATTTTCACATTCCTCAAGGATTATAAGACCAAATCTCAATTACTGGAAATTGATAGAGCATTATTCAGAGTTGAGGATTTACTAGCACTTGCGTGTCGATTTGAATTGAATCAATTTTTCAGAAAGATTATTCTAATGCCAGAAGAGGAAGATGAATAAAATTCAAATAGATATTTTCCAAATAGAACAAGAAGAGGAAAGGAATCGGAGAACCGAATTCTCACACAT